AGTGGTTCTGTTTCCAGTAGGGAAATGTGCTAACCTTGACACTGTTTTTGGAAAGGGTGGAGGAAGTTAGGAGTCAGTGGACCTGGGGCCTGGGCTCACCACTGACAAATGGGAGATTTCAGGTTTGGGATGCCAAGTAATGTGAGTAGGTATGAGAATGTGTATCTCTCCAGGGGAGTCACTACATGGTTACCGCATCTGTATCCAGGCCATCCTGCAAGACAAGCCCAAGATTGCCACCGCAAACCTAGGCAAGGTGAGCTCTCAGTGGTGGTGGGGACACCAGGAAGCTAGGACTGGGGAGTCTGGGCAGAATCTACATTGTTGGACTCAGGTTTGGGATAGTGGAAGACCTATAAGCCTAGTAATAATAGGTAATACTATTAGCACTTACTGTGTGTCTGCTCTGGAAACATAGCAGCCAGGTACTGCTATTATTTCCCATTTTTATAAATGAAAAGATTGAGCCACAGAGGAGTTCAGTAACTTTCCTAGGCTCAGTCATCCAGCCAATGGCAGAGTATAGGTGAAGCCCACAAACAGTCCCTGCACCACGTGGTCATAGTGCTCCACTCTTGCTCGGCCTGTCCTCCCTCTTCCAGTTGACATCTCCCTTCCCGCCTGTCTTTGGGGGTGCTCCTGGTGTTTTGTCCTATCCCAATCTGCCTTCCCTACCGGTCTCCTCAGTTCCTGGAACTACTGAGGTCCCACCAGAGCCGACCAGCCAAGTGTCTGACCATCATGTGGGCCCTGGGTCAAGCGGGTTTTGCCAACCTCACCGAGGGACTGAAAGGTAACAGGGAAATAGGGAAGAAAGAGGGAGGGTCTCGGAACCGGAAAACTCCTCTTTGATGCCCCTAATAGGTGCAAGCCTGAGGCTTCCCTCCTGACCTTCACCTCCACAGTGTGGCTGGGGATCATGCTGCCTGTGCTGGGCATCAAGTCTCTTTCTCCGTTTGCCATCACATACCTGGATCGGCTGCTCCTGTGAGTAATGGAAGGGCAGCGAGGGGAAGGCTCAGGGTGTCCCAGATGGCTGTTTTAGCAAAATGGGAGGCTGTGATCTTGGTCTCCAGGGATATGAGGAAAATCAGGACCAGCTTCTCCCACCATCTTAGAATGTGATGGTGAGGAAGGAAGAAGAGGGAGCTATTAAGGGCTGGCAGATGGGGTAGAGTTTACACCCATTTTCCTAGATGTTGGCTTAGCTGGGGTCATGACCGAAACAGCTGGCATGGGTGGTGGTGTCCAGCGAACCTGTTTCTTCATCCCCACAGGATGCATCCCAACCTTACCAAGGGCTTCGGCATGATTGGCCCCAAGGACTTCTTCCCACTTCTGGACTTTGCCTATATGCCGAACAACTCCCTGACACCCAGGTAGGACTGCCCTGGGGCACACCTGCTGTGAAGGGACCCCCAGCACCAGAACCACGTTACATTTTCCCATCCCTTCTTCCCCAGCCATCCTAGATCTGAGATTTGCAACCTGGAAGTTCAAGAGTAGGTTTCAAGGGAACAGTGATCCCTTGAAATTATATGGACCCTTGAGTGTGATTGGCATATGGGCATTTTCTTAGGGATAGGGTCCATGGCTTTCAACAGATTTCCAAGGAGTCTCTGAGTAAAAAGATTCAGAGCCATTGCAAGGTCCTCAGTGGCTATTCCCCCCAGGCAGGCATGGGCTCTGAAGCAAGCAAAAGGTTCACATCATACAGCTCCATTTATAGCTTATGCCTGGCTTTCCTCCCCACCCCACCCAGCCTGCAGGAGCAGCTATGTCAGCTCTACCCCCGACTGAAGGTGCTGGCATTTGGAGCAAAGCCAGATTCCACCCTGCATACCTACTTCCCTTCTTTCCTGTCCAGAGCCACCCCTAGCTGTCCCCCTGAGATGAAGAAAGAGGTGAGACGTGGTGGGAGGCTGCTTCTCCTTCCCCAGGGGTCAACTGCAGCGGTCCCTACCTGCTGACAAAGGCCTTGCCTTCACAGAGCCCATTCTGAGGCTTTTCCTTAGCTCCCTGTTGACAGCTGCCTGCCCCGCTCACTCGAGCTTCACCCTCAGAAGATGGATCCCAAGGGACAGCACATTCAGGTCTGGGTGGTTTCTGATGCCCGTCACTTGCAGATGAGTGATCTTTGAGCTCAGAGCTCTAGCTCAGGAGCCCCAATCTCCCGCTTTACAGCCTCTCAGAGAGCTTTCTGGAGTCTTGACACTGTTTCTCCACTCCTTAGGGTGAATGTGCGGCCTGGGTGGCCTCACTTAACGGGAAGGGGATCACCTCTTAGCACTCTCCCCCTCCGCCTGCCCCATGCCCCCAGCAGCCTCTCCCTCTGTCCCGCTGTGCAGCTCCTGAGCAGCCTGACCGAGTGCCTGACAGTGGACCCCCTCAGCGCCAGCGTCTGGAGGCAGCTGTACCCTAAGCACCTGTCTCAGTCCAGGCAGGTGGGGTGGGGGGCCAGCCTGTCCCTGTGCTAGAAGCAGAAGGGGAGGCTGGGTCACTGTCTCATGGCCTGACACCTCTCAGGCTGAGTGGGAACATTGCTGGAGCAACCTTTAGGAAGCTGCTGCTCTGTGGGTGGTAGGTGGAGGGTCTTTCAGCCTGAAGGAGCCAGGGCTAATGGAGGATGGGAGGATGGGCAAGGCCGCACGAGCCACCTGATGGAGGGGTTGTGCTTTCCCCACAGCCTGCTGCTGGAGCACTTGCTCAGCTCCTGGGAGCAGATTCCCAAGAAGGTGAGGAGCTGGGAGGACGTGGCAGGTTGAGCCCTGTCTGGATTCTGGGTTCTGAGTAGGGGCTCCTCAGCCACTGTCCCTTCCCTGAGAAGGGACCCTGTTGGCATGGAAAATGAAGCAGGATGGAAGCTCTGGATTCCCTCACAGGCCAGACCTTTCTTGTCCATAGGTACAGAAGTCTTTGCAAGAAACCATTCAGTCCCTCAAGCTTACCAACCAGGAGCTGCTGAGGAAGGGCAGCGGTAACAACCAGGATGTCGTCACCTGTGACATGGCCTGCAAGGTGCTGGCACCCGGCCCTCTCCAGCCCACACGCTATCTTACATCTCTGTCTCAGCACACCCGGGTTGGGCCTGTATCACATTCCTGCCCCACCTGTCTGTGGAGCCCCCCGCTGCCTCCAGGGTAATGTGAAGGCTTGACGCTCTTCCAGGAAGGCCTGGCTTGAGGTCTGTCCTCAGAGGCAAAGACCAGCCCCTCTCGCTTCTACAACTCTCCTGCTCCCCTCCCACCAGGGCCTGTTGCAGCAGGCTCAGGGTCCTCGGCTGCCCTGGATGCGGCTCCTCCTGTTGCTGCTGGTCTTCGCTGTAGGCTTCCTGTGCCATGACCTCCGGTCACACAGCTCCTTCCAGGGTAAGCAGCAATGGGCAAGTGAGGAGGATGGCATGGGAGGGGCACAGAGCTACGTGTAGCACCCCCCGCCCCCACAGCACACATCTTTGTCCTCACGAGTTCTCAATCCTCAGAGTAAACACTTTACAGACAGAGTTTTCTGTCCTCAGATATGACACTACCATTTCAGATTAGACTAGGACTTTGCAGTATAGAAGTGCTTGCATATTCATGGTGTCATTTGAGTAGGTGTTACCTCCTTTTAACTCCTGAGGAAATGGTCTCAGAAAGATGTAGCAATTAGCTTTAGGTCACAGCTAGTAAGTAGAAGGGCAGACCCTCAACCTGAGGCTTCCTGAAGCCTGAGCCCAGGCTCCACCCGGCAGCTGCATTCCTGCACACCTGGCCCAGCAGGAGAAGGACAACTCTGCATGCCTTCCTCCACAGCAGCCTGGAGCTGGCTCTGTGGCCCTGTGAGCACACAAAGCTCTGCCCAGCACCTCGCTGTGCCTGCTCTAGGCCCTGTAGTGTCTGTCTCCCCAGTCCCTGCCCCTCTCATCTCCCGGCTCACCAGAGGCCCCCTTTACTCAGCCTCCCTTACTGGCCGGTTGCTTCGAACATCTGGTTTCTTACCTGCTAGCCAACAAGCGTGTGCCAAGCTCTACTCCTACAGTCTGCAAGGCTACAGGTGAGCTTCTCCCAGGGAGGGGAGAGGAGAGGCAGAAGAGAGAAGGCCTGGGTGTCAGGGAGGTGACAGTGGGAAGCACTTGTGATTCTCCTTTCCCACGGCCTCCATTTCCCCAGCTGTTTCTTGGGAGCTAAGCGGTGCCTGAGGAGACTCAGAGCCCTCTTCCCCCACTTCCATCTTCCACAGCTGGCTGGAGGAGACACTGCCTGTCTGGGGCTCTCACCTGCTCACCATGGTGCGGCCCAGCTTGCAGCTGGCCTGGGCTCACACCAATGCCACAGTCAGCTTCTTTTCTGCCCACTGTGCCTCTCATCTTGCCTGGTTTGGTGACAGCCTCACCAGCCTCTCTCAGAGGGTAAGTCAGAGACAGGGAGTCACATGACGGGCTGGTTTTCCCAGGAGCAGAATTCTGGGAAAGGAGCAGCATTGTGTGGCCTGAGTCCTTAGGTCCAGGATGCAGTTCCCTGAATACTCTGACCCCATCCATTCTCCATGGTCCAGCTACAGATCCAGCTCCCTGATTCCCTGAATCAGCTGCTCCACTATCTGAGAGAGCTGCCCCTGCTTTTCTACCAGAATGTACTGCTGCCATTGTGGCACCTCTTGCTTGAGGCCCTGGCCAGCGCCCACAAGCACTGCCATGAGGCATGCAGGTGAGACCTTTGCCCAGGGCTCCAGCAGGATCCCCAGCAGCCCCATTCCCGGGCCCCAGGGACAAGCCATCTCTGACCAGTCTCCCACACTGTCCTGCCCCTCGCTGCATCCTTAATTGACAGCTTAAGCTTAATTGACTGCCCATCCCTGACCACCCTGGGATGAGGGTTGTGGGTCTAAGTTTTCAGCCCCGAGAGTTGACACAGCTACACACGTGCATACTCAAAAATGTTCCACTTTCTTTCCAGAGGTGAGGTGACCTGGGACTGCATGAAGACACAGCTCAGTGAGGCTGTCCACTGGACCTGGCTCTGCCTACAGGACATCACAGTGGCTTTCTTGGACTGGGCACTTGCCCTGATATCCCAGCAGTAGGCCCTGCTCCCTGGCCACTGATTTCTGCGTGGGCAAACCAAGACTGCAGCGGGTAGAAGGTGGCAGTTCTTCATGGGAGTCTTTTTTAACTTGGTGCCTGAGTTCTCTCCTAGGCAAGTGGCCAGTTGCCTCCACCTCAGTTCTTCCATCTTTGGTGGGGACAGGGCCCAGCGGCATCTCAGCCTCCTACCCACAATTCCACTGAACACTTTTCTGGACCTACTGCACATGGCCCCCAGCCTCCATCCTTGTGATGGTAGCCTCTCACAACTCCGCCCTTGCCCTCTGCCTTCCACTTCCTTCCATCTCATTTCTAAACCCCAAACAGCTTATCTCCAAAAAGACAGAACTCCCAGCAGGTGGCTTCTGTGTTCTTCTGACAAATGATTCCTGCTTCTCCAGACTTTAGCAGTCTCCTGTTCCCATTCTTGGTCACAGCTCTAGCCACAGCAGAAGGAAAGGGGCTTCCAGAAGAATATAGCACCATGTTGGGAAACAGCAGCCTCACCTCCACCTGAAGCCTGGGTGTGGCTGTCAGTGGACATGGGGGGCTGGATGGAAATGCCTCTCACTTCAAAATGCCCAACCTGCCCCAAATGCCTCTAAGCCCCTTCCTGTCTCCTCCTTCATAGTCCTACTTCTTCCAACTTTCCATTCCCCATCATGCTGGGGGACTCTGTCACAAGGCTCAGCTTCTCTCCACTGTCCATCCTTCCTATCATCTGTCTGGAGAGCAGAGCCCAGGTAGTTGTGTGCCTTGGGCCCAGGGAACCCTCCATCAACCTGAGACAGGACTCAGCATATGGTTATTGGGTATGCCTACCAGGTGGAATAAAGGACACAGATTTGATTTCTAGCATTCCTGTCTGCATCCTCATACAGAAATTCCCCTAATTATGGTTCAGAATAACAAAATCTTGGGCCCTTGCCCTCCTGAAGACTGTAGCCATGGCTGTAATTAAGCTCCTGGTGGGGAAGGCCACATCCATGGTTCTAAAGTTTGACCTGGTGGGTGTTACAGACACTTCTCTTGCTACGCTAATTATACTGTCTGACTTGTCACTGATTCATATCCCAAATTTGCCTTGATAGTTTTGTGCTTGGAAAAACAGGGGGCCGTCTCTTAGGGGAATTCTTGGCCAGTGACCAGGAGATGTCCTTTCCTTGCCAGGACCTTCATTTTATAGAGCAGTGAGTGAAAGATTTAGAACTCCAAGGACACATGAGTCCAAGGGTTATCGCCAAAGCCCCTTTTTATTTTTGACTTGAGACTAAAAGGAGTTAGATAACTCTGCTGATTTCCTAGTTCTCAGATGTGTTTTCTTGAATGTTTCAAGTCAGCAATACTAGAGAGAAGTTAGATCTAACTGCTGGTTTCTTAGTTCTCAGTTTGATTTCCTTGAATGTTTCAAGTCAGCAGTACTAGAGATATGCTCTAGCAGCTCTCAAAGCAGATTCCGCTTCCCTCATAAACTCCCATGATGCTCAGCAGGTATGATGGCCAGTTACCACTTCCCTTCTCACGTGGAGCCCTGAGACACTCTGCTTTTTCAGTGGTTCGAATATAAAGTAGCAGATGTAAGAAAATATCGACCCAAAGTGAGGTCATGAATATAACAGCATCTCATGTGTTTGCTGCCTTTCCTCTGGAATTAGCCCACAAGCAGACCCCTTTCTCTCCTAGTGGCAATTAACCATGACCATCTTCCCAGAGAAGATAAACTACCTGGCAAAGGGCCAAGGTTTTGGGACTGCTGGGCAGGAGAACTGGCCTGTGTTCAAGGCAAGTTGGAGAAAGGTGGCAGTTGTGAGAATGGGTCGGCAATGGCACAGGGAGGACAAGTTCGGTGATAACTTCTAGAAGTTCAAGGCTGCATCCAGCAAACCAAGGATGCCACAGTGCTGTGTTGGCTTCTAATGTGTGACTATATTTACCTTGCTGGGTTCATTTAACTTCTGACACTAAAATCCTGGGGAGCAACATTTTTCATCAACTTAGGTTAATTGCCATCTCCACACTGACAGCTTAAGCTTAATTGACTTTATTCAATAGATAAAGTTTTTTGACCCAGTGTTGAAATTGTCTGAAATTTTTCCTTTGTGGAGAACTAGTCCAACACTGCACCTGCTCTGCGTTAAAGCAAAACCAGATGTCGAGACGTTTCATTTTTGCAGAGCTGTCAACAAACAAGAGTCCAAGCGGAGCCAGTAAATTGAACCAGCGCGGGCTAGCAGAGTGTATGACAGTGATGCTGATGGGTGGGGCAGTCACACTGTAACTATGGTTGTTACTGGAAGAACCGAAAGGAGCTGACACCTCAGTCACATCTGGACAGTAACTTCACACAGCTGAAGGTCAACCGATAACACACCATAAAGCTGAAGGGCAGTTTTGAGTATGGTTATCTCTTACTAACTTTATTAGCAGTTCTTTTTTTTTTTTTTTTTTGAGACGGAGTCTCGCTCTGTCTCCCAGACTGCAGTGCAGTGGCATAATCTCAGCTCACTGCAAGCTCCGCCTCCCAGGT